ATAATCAATTTTTGGTTACAAAAGCAGTACATGAATACATTTATCTTCTAAAACATTAAAACTACCTCTCCACATCCCTTGCTGCTGGGCCACAGCCCAGAGTCTCAGGGAATGATCAGCTGTGCTGTTTTCTTCCTCATCTTCTTCTGCTTCACCCCTTTCCCTTTCCTGAATTGTTTCATGGAGGAGCAGTGTAAAGACTTCCCCCTCCATGAATTTGTGGCCCTGACAGGTGCGCTTCTTGCCATCTGCTGCATGATTTTCATGGGCTTTGCAGATGATGTCCTGAATTTGTGCTGGTGTCATAAGCTGTTGCAGCCCACAGTTGCCTCACTATCTCTCCTTATGGTCTACTTCACCAACTTTGGTAACACGACCATTGCGGTACCCAAGCTCTTGTGGTACCCAATTCTTGGCCTTGGGGATCCTGTGATTGGACTTGGGGATCCTGTACTATGTCTACATGGAGTTGTTGGTATTGTTCTGTATCAATGCCATCAACATCCTGGCAGGAATTAATGGCCTACAGGCTGGCTTGTCACTTCCTGCTCCCATCATCATCTTCAACCTGGTAAGCTGCAAGGTGATTGTCAGGATGAGCTTATCTTTTCCCTCTACTTCACGACCCCCTCCCCCATTTTTTTTTTTTTTTTACCACCCTGGGATTACTCTACCATAACTGGTACCATCACGGGCATTTGGGGAAGATACCTTCTGTTACTTTGCTGGCATGATCTTTGCTGTGGTGGGCATCTTGGGACACTTCAGCAAGACAATGCTATTCTTCTTCATGCCTCTGATGTTTAACTTCCTCCACTCACTGCCTCAGCTGCTGCACATCATCCCCTGTCCTCACTACCATATGCCCAGACTCAATACCAATACAGGCAAACTGGAGATGAGCTATTCCAAGTTCAAGACCAAGAGCTTCTCTTTCTTGGGTACCTTTTTTCTAAAGGTAGCAGTGAGCCTCCAGCCAGTGACAGTGTGCCCGAGTGAGAATGAGAACAGTGCCTTCACTCAGTGTAACAAAATGACCCTCATCAACTTGCTACTTAAAGTCTTTTGGCTCATGCACGAGAGAAACCTCACATTTCTCCTGTTGCTGGTACAGATCCTGGGCAGTGCTGTCACCTTCTCCATTCAGCACCAGCTTCTCTGACTCTTTTATGTCTAAGTCCCCTGATCATTGCCCTTTACTTCATAGTCTCCAGGGTTCCTGACTCAGGCCAACCTCACTCCAGACCAAGACTGCCTTTTAGCCCAGGCCTCTCCCACCCTTCATCTTTCTTAGCATTTCCTTTCCCGTGTAATTATTGACATACTGAGCCTTTCTTGCCCTCTAATGATTATTGTTTGTATTTTGCCTATGATTTGGTTCAGTCTTGGGTGACATACTCTAGCCACAATCAAACTGACCAGATGCATTAGGAGCATGAAGATGAAGACCTTTTTAACCAGGGCAAAGGAGAAACAATGGAAGGAATGGGAGATGCTAGTCTGGAATAAGTCCTTGGGCAGAAGTCTTCAAGTACCTGAAAAGTAGAAGGTCAAGAGAGATTAGATCTGTTTGTTCTCTGGGCAAGAGGGTAAAGGTTTCATAGACACTTTTGAACTGGTCAGAACTGCTGAGACCAAGGAATGCATTACTCTGGATAGTGGGCTTTCTGTCATTAAGGAGTTTTCTTACAGATGCAAATGGATGGTGGATGGGTGGTGGGGAGGCCGATAAACATTTCTTGAGTGCTATGTGTGCCAGGACTGTGCTGAGGACCTTTCATTATCTCTTTTGTTAATAATTAAAAAATTTTTTCTTTTTTTTAATCCTCACCAGAGGACATTTTTCCATTTTTTGTTCAGATAGAGTGGGAGGGAGAGAGAGGAGGAGAGAGAGAGAGAGAGAAACATCGACGTGAAAGGATCACATCAAGTGGCTGCCACCCGCACGACCAACCAGGGCCGGGGACAAACTGCAACCGAGGCACGTGCCCTTAGCGGGAACCGAACCCGGGTCTCTCTGGAACACAGGCCGACGCTCCAAACACTGAGCCAAACCAGCCAGGGCTTGTGTGTTTTTTTTTTTTAATCCAAAAAATTTTTTCAATTACAGTTGACATACAATATTATATTAGTTTCAGGTGTACAACATAGTGATTAGACATTTATATAACTTATTATTGTTATTATTTTTTATCCTCACCCGAGGACATTTTTCCATTTTCTGTTCAGGTAGAGTGGGAGGGAGAGAGAGGAACAGAGAGAGAGAAACATCGATGTGAAGGGACACATCGAGTGGTCGCCACCCGCACAACCGACCAGGGCCGGGGACAAACTGCAACCGAGGTACGTGCCCTTAGTGGGAACCGAACCCGGGTCTCTCAGGACCGCAGGCCGACGCTCTAACCGCTGAGCCAAACCGGCCAGGGCCATTTATATAACTTATGATCACCCTGATATGTCTACTACCCATGTGACACTATACATAGTTATTACAATATTATTGACTATATTCCCTATGCTGTACTTTATATCCCTATCCTGTTTTTATAACTGGCAATTTGTACTTTTTAATTCCTTCCCCCTTTTCACCCATTGCCCCCAACCCCTCTCCCATCTGTCAACCATCAACATCTTCTCTGTATCTATGCGTTTATTTGTTTTGTTCATTCATTTTTTGTGTGTGTTTTTTTAGATTCCACATATAAGTAAAATAATATGGTATTTGTCTTTCTCTGACTTATTTCACTTAGCATAATACCGCTAGGTCCATCCATATTGAGACAAATGGCAAGATTTCATTCTTTTTTATGGCTGAGTAAATATTCCATTTTATATATATATACATATATATATATATACACACACACACACACACACACGCACACACACACGCGCACACACACACATACACACCACATCTTTATCCATTTGTCTCTTTATGGACATTTAGGTTGCTTGCTTCTCTATATTGGTTATTTTAAGTCATGTTGCAGTGAACATAGGGGGGTACATGTCTTTCCAAGTTAGTGTTTTAGGTTTCCTCAGATTAGTACCCAGAAGTGAAATTGCTGGGTCATATGGTAATTCTATTTTTAATTTTCTGAGGAACCTCCATCCTGTTTTCCATAGTGGCTGTACCAGTTTACAATCCCACCAACAGTGCATGAGGGTTCCCTTTTCTCCACATTCTCACCAACACTTGTTTGTTGATTTATTGATACAGCCATCCTGAGGTGTGAGTTGATATCTTACTATGGTTTTAATATACATTTCCCTGATGATTAGTGATGTTACACTTATATGGAAAATTAATTGATGACAAAGAAGGCAAGAATATACAATGGGGTAAAGATAGTCTCTTCAATACATGATTTTGGGAAAACTGTACAGATACATGCAAAAGAATGAAACTGGACAAATTTCTTATACCATATACAAGAATAAACTCAAAATGGATTAATGACTTAAATGTTAACACCGAAACTTTCCATAAAACTCATAAAAAAAACCCACAGGCAGTAAACTCTTTGACATTACTTTTTTTATTATTATTATTATTGATTTTAGAGAGAAAGGAAGGGAGAGGGATAGAGAGATAGAAACATCGATGAGAGAGAACATTGATTGGTCACCTCCTGCATGCCCCCCACTGCGGATCAGGCCCACAACCTGGGCATGTGCCCTGACTGGGAATAGAACCGGTGACCTTCTTGGTGCATGGGTCGATGCTCAACCACTGAGCCACACTGGCCGGGCGACATTACTCTTTTTTAAAAAAATGTTTTTATTGATTTTTTTTTGAGAGAGAAAGGAAGGGAGAGAGAGATAGAAACATTGATGTGAGATAGAAACATCAATCAGCTGCCTTCTGCATGCTTCTTATGGGCATGGAGCCCCAAACCCAGGCATGTGCCTGACCAGAAATCAAATCGGGGCCTCTCAGTCCATGGGATGACACTCAATCCACTGAGTCACACTGGCTGGGCTGACATTACTCTTAGCAATATATATATATATATATATATATATATATATATATATATATATATTTTTGTTTGTTTGTTTGTTTGTTTGTTTGTTATGTCTCCTTCAGTAAGGGAAACAAAAGAAAAACTAAACAAATGGGACTACTTAAAACTAAAGAGTTTTTGCATGGTAAAACAAAACAAAACAAAACAATGAAAGGAAAAGACAACCTACTGAATGGAAGAAGATATTTGCCAGTGATACATCCAATAAGGGTTTAATATTCAAAATATATAAGGATCTCAAACAACTTCAACACTAAAGAACCAAAAACTATTTGATTAAAAAAAATGAGCAGAGGACCTGAACAGACATTTCTCCAAAGCGGGCATACAGATGGCCAATAGACATATGAAAAGATGCTCAACTTTCCTCTATTATCTTATTTCATCTTGCCAACACCCTATGATGTAGGTACCATTGTTGTCTATCCCTGTACTATAGATGAAGGACTGGGTATAGTGAGATCAGGTAATCCTTCAAAGTCAAACAATTTGTAGGTGGTGGAACTTGGATTACAATTAGTTCTGACACTTTCCGAAGCCCATATTTTTTGCCATAATGGGATTCAGGCCTGATATGGGGCTCTGGACCTGTGCCGCCTTGAGATCCTTTGGACTAGAGGATTCTGTGGATGGGGGAAAAGATGCCTCTCTATCCCCCTTAAGGGAAAGGTTCACAGTGTAGGTAGAGAAGCTGGAGAAGCGGGTGAGGTAGTCTCGATTGCAGAAGGCCAAGGGATGTAGGCCTAAAGGACATGGAAGGGTTGTCAACGTGCGTCACCCCACAGCTCGGCAACAACTGCTGCCCTGTCATTTGAAGATCTCCAGACCCCTGTGAGGGACGGAGGCGCAGGCCCCCATCGCCGCTTCGCTCGTTGGCCAGGGAGCGTCGAGGCAGCCTGGTTCTGCGTCGGAGTCGGGGGTCGGAACAGCGCGCCGGTCCCTGGCCGGGCGCGAGCTGGGGGCGGGGCCGAGGCGGCGCAAGTAAGGAGGGCGCGCGCCGAGGCGGCTGCGGCAGTTGCGCGCTAGGATTGCTACCGAGCGGCGGGACGGTGAGTGCGGCGGTACCCGCGGGCGGGCGGGAGGGGAAGGAGTGGTCGAGCGAGCTAGGGAGGAAGGAGGGTGCGCGGCCGAGCGCGCGACCTGGGGCAGGGGCCGTCGTCTGCCCGTGCCCCGGTCCCCGTCCCCTGTGCCTCTAAGGCCGCAGTCTCTTACACCGGAGCGCCCGCCTGCGGGCCCCGTGACTTCGTACCCCGATCTCTACACGCCCCGCAGCTCGTGGTCACCCCCGACTCAGCGCAGCCCCTTCCTCCTCGCCACGGCAACGCCCCCAGCCTCACGTCACGCCCGCGCCATTGTTTCTCCGCGGTCGGCTGACTCCGACCCGCCTTAGCCTCGGAGCGCGGCCCTTCGCCTCTTCGTAGGCAGCCTCGCTGCGTCTTGTCCTGCCCTGCGCCCCCCGGCCCTGCTTTTCTCTCTCGGTGCGGGCAGCCCCCGTCCCGCCTCGGGGAGACACCTTTTTACTCAGGTCTGCCTGCTTTATTCTGGCCGACGCCGGGCGTCCTCCTGTCCGCACCCGAGCCCAGCCTTTCCGCCTCTTGAATCCCGCTTCCCACCCCTCGCGCATTCTCGGTCAATCCCAAGAAACTCGCGGCCGCTGTGGCGGGATGCTGGGTGGAAGGCGTTTTAGCAAGAACCCCAAGAAGTTGATAGCCCGCACGCCAGTTTTGTCGTTTGCAGCACTTACTGGAAAGCCCACACGAATGGCAAGCCGCCGTAAAAACATGCTTATTTCCAAATGGTTCCCAAGTCGGGTCAGCTGTTCAGTGGCAGTGTATTCCTTTCCCTTTCTTCGGGACCCCTGAAGCCAGAGGGCCAAGCGTGAGATGTGGATCTGAGGCCTGAACCATTAGCTGTAAGCACGTTTTGGGGGTTTGACTCCAGTAGGCCTCAAGCTTTTAAAAGCAGTAGGTAGAGCTGTGTCGGATTTATTTTTTCCCATGATTTCGTCTTTTGGGCCGCTGTGTTTGAGAGTTGTAAAGTACAGTGCTCTGCAATGACTAGTCACCATTTTAGGGTTTGTGTGGGCGCGCGCGTTTGCGCGTGCCCCGGTGCGGACAGGTTCTACATGTCTGTACATTCACTGTTCGTTTTGTCTCTTAAGGCAGTGGATGAAGACCCTGACAGCTATAATGTGAAAGAGAGAACATTGAAACAGTGCCGTTTACCGTGGCAATTTAATATTGTTGAGGTCTCTTAAATATTTACCACCACACTCTAACACTAGATTTCTCCTGGCCTGGAGAGGTTTATTTCAAGGAGACACAGCTAGTTAGCAATTAAAATCAACTCCACATGCTGGGCTGATGGTAGCACTTTATTTCTGAAATGCATTTCTTAAATTTTTTTTTATTGATTAGAGAGAACAGGGTGGGGGTGGAGAGAGAAATATATATTTATTGTTCACTATCCATGCACTGATTGGCTGAGTCCAGTATATGCCCTGACCAGGAATGGAACCTGCAACCTTGGCTTATGGGAGGACCCTCCAGCCAACTGAGCTACTGGGCCAGGGCTGAAATGCATTTCTGTTGCAATATAAGCCACTGCATTTCAGCAGTATAGGTTTCTGTAGAACCCTCATTAAGCCAGAATTTAGGTTTTAGAATTTAGTAATCAATTAATCTGTAAAGTAAGAGGGCTGAAGATGTGTTCTGCAAGGTGTCATTCGGTTCCAGGATTTGGTTCCACTGTATGAAAATTTACAATCAGCAGTAAGTTCCCAATAGTTTATAATTGTAGGAAGATTTACATAGATACTATTTACTTAAGGAATCTACAAGCCTTAGTACAGTGACATCAGGGGTATATGCCTAAAGAAAGCCAAGTTACAGTGGAATGTTAGGAGGGATAATCATTAATCTGTCTCTAGGTTATTTCAACAGTTTTATGGGGAAAGAAAGCACACAAAATGTGTTTTGTTTTGTTTTAAATACATCTTTTTGTTGCATAACTCTTACCAAAAAGCGTAATTCAATGAAATGGTTAAAAAACCCAACTTTAGCCCTGGCCGGTTTGGCTCAGCGGTTAGAGCATCGGCCTGCGGTCCTGAGAGACCCGGGTTCGGTTCCTGCTAAGGGCACGTACCTCGGTTGCAGTTTGTCCCCGGCCCTGGTCGGTTGTGCGGGTGGCAGCCACTCGATGTGTTCTTTTCACATCGATGTTTCTCTCTCTCTCTGTTCCTCTCTCTCCCTCCCACTCTACCTGAACAAAAAATGGAAAAATGTCCTCGGGTGAGGATAAAAAAACAAAACAAAAACAAAAAAAACAAAACCCAACTTTATCATATTATTTATAATTATGCTCTTCCATTTCTTATCTAAATATAGTTTTTATGTATAGTTGCTCTGTACATACTGTTATTAATTTTGCACTTACCCATATTTCTGGGATGTCCATGTATCTAGAAAATTTATCTACTTTTTATTTGTATGGAGGCTTTGTAACCTGCTTTTATGCCTAGACGTCAACAATGCCTGGCATACAGGCTCTCAGTAAATTTTTGTTGAATGAATGTAATATTTTGAGCTATTTAGACAACATCGATGAAAAAATGTTACCTATCACAGGGAACATGTTAAATAACGTGAGTAGTAAAGGTAGGCAATACTTTTAGCTAGGAGATAGCATCAGATATGTTTCAGGGACTAGATTTTGGAGTCCGGATTTGAGACCTGGCTTGCCACTTAACGTCCGTGCAGCCTTGGAGAACTTAACCTTAGAGAGCCTTCCTCAGTTTCTCTTACCATGAAAAAGGGAAAACTAGAACAAATTTCACAGGGTTATATGGATTGAATGGGATAATTCCATGGAGGCAATACTGGCATACATTAAATTTTCTATACATGTTGGCTATTACTATTTTTTGGTTCAAGGTGGAGTGATAATTGTAGGTTGGTAGGATCAGGGAGAACATACAGAAGGTGGCACTTGAGAGTAAGGAGATGTAAAAGTGGATATATTGAGGGGTTAATGGTATAGCAATAATATGAGATATAACTGGCTAGAGAAATTCTGGTAAGCTGTTTACAAGATGTTCTACACAAATTTCTTGCAGATAGAGCAGAATTAATGAAATAAGATAACTTTTTGTGAGTAGTTGGTATTTTTTTTCCAGTTCAGATCTGAAAAAGTTACTTGCTTTAAGGAAATTAATAGCAAATTATTATGGAGTCCTAAGGTCCTCATCATTTGACACAGTAAATCTTGTTTTACCATTTTAAATTTAATTGTGTTCTTTGGTTGGTCACCAAAGTTTGTGGTGGCTGTTTTTTCTGTCTCATTATATTTTTGTTAATCCTCATCTGAGAATATTTTTCTATTGATTTTTTTTGTAGGATGGAAGGGAGGGAGGGAGGGAGGGAGAGAAAGAAAGAGAAACAGAACCATGGCCCTGGTCGGTTTGGCTCAGCGGTTGGAGCGTTGTCCCTGCGGACCAGAGTCCTGGGTTCAGTTCCCGCTAGGGGCACATACCTCCCCCCTCCAAAAAAAGAAACAGAACCGTGGATGTCACAGCAATTGGTTGCCTCCCAGCCCCAACTAGGGGGCCTGGGATCGAACCTGCGACCCTTTGGTCCGCAGGCCGACACTCTGACCCCTGAACCAAACTGCCCAGGGCTATTTTTTTCTTTTTAATTCCTCACTCGAGGATATTTTTCTTCTTTCTTTTTTCTTTATTGACTTTTTAGAGAGAGAGGAAAGGAGAGGGAGGGAGAGAGAGAAACATCGATGAGAGAGAACATTGATTGGTCGCCTCCTGCATGCTCCCACTGGGGATTTGGCCCACAACCTGGGCATGTTCCTAAACTGGGAATCGAACTGGCGACCTCTTGGTGCATAGGTCGATGCTCAACTCTTGAGCCACATTGGCCGGGCTATAAATGTTAAATTTTAATACTGCCAAATTTTCCCATCTTTTTTTTATGGTTTGTGTTATTTTTTATCCAAGAAAGCCTTCCTATGCCCTGCCTGGTGTGGCCAGGGCACATGCCCAGATTTCAGGCTCTAGCACCTATAGGAGGCATGTAGGAGGCATCTGACAGATGTTTCTTTCTCTCTCTCTCCCTCCCTCTCTTCCTCTCTCTCTCCAAAAATCAATAAAAAATTTTAAAAAAGAGAAATTCTTCTTTGCCTTTATGCTGTTCATCTCTGTTTTCTTCTAAAAACCAAATGGTTTTGCTTTTTATATTTAGGTTTATTTATGCTGTTATTATTTCTTAGCCTACCTTTAATATGGTAACTGTGTTGCACTTTTTTTTTTTTTTTTAATCTTCACCCGAGGACGTTTTTCTATTTTTTTTGTTCAGGTAGAGTGGAAGGGAGAGAGAGGAAGAGAGAGAGAGAGAAATATCGACGTGAAAGGGACACATTGAGTGGCTGCCACCCGCACGACCAACCAGGGCCGGGGACAAACTGCAACCGAGGTACATGCCCTTAGCGGGAACCGAACCCGGGTCTCTCGGGACCGCAGGCTGATGCTCTAACTGCTGAGCCAAACCGGCCAGGGCGCACTTTTTTTTTTTTAATCCTCACTGGAGGATATGTTTATTGATTGATTTTAGAGAGAGGAAGTGAGAGAGAGAGATACATTGATGTGAGAGAAACATTGATCTGTTGCCTTCTGTATACGCCCCAACCAGGTACAGAACCTGAAACCCAGATATGTGCTCAGTCCAGGAATCAAACCTATGGGACAACGCTCCAGCCAACTAAGCCACATTGGCCAGGGCTGTGTTACACATTCTTTTTTCTGTCACTGTTTGTCATAAAATTGTTCCGTATAAATTCATAAGGACAGGACAGCTGTGTTAGATTCTAAACTTAGGCCAAAATAGTATAGAAAGTAAAAATTTAGATTTCTCTATTATAGTTTACGTGTTTTTCTACAGATTTCCATTACTCTACAGTATTTTGTTTAATTTGCCTAGCCCTGGCTTGTGGCTCAGGTGGTTGGAGCATTGTCCCATGTACCAAAAGGTTGCAGATTCACTTT